CCACAATGGCACATGTAATTCAGGGTAACCCCGAATCCATCCATGTTCCTGAGCCATGAGACTTACTTGTCTCAAAATAAGTTATCTCTTATTCCCTGTAGAATGAGAGTCATGTTCTTATTTCAACAGTAAAAAATGCCCCCCCCCCCCCGTGGTTGGCTGTGCTTTGCCTTCCTTGGCAACCCCATTACGGAGACACAGTAGGCAGTAGGGTTTGGATTTCTACCCCTAGTTGTTGACATAGTGTCTTTGCTACCCTCTAGTGTTGGTATCAACAGCACAGTACGGGTGAGCTTGAAAAACTTGTTATGTGAGAGAGGAGAGTGATCAAGGGTCACGTCTATGAGACCCTGTACATGCAATTTTGAGAATAGACACATACATAGATGCAGAAGATAGTTTAGTGGGCTCCTGCTTGTTTGTCGTGCTGCTTAAAAACGTGTTTTCACCCTGGCCTTCACCTGGAGACAGGGATAGACAGGAAGTTTTTGCCAAGTTCATTTCCTTTTGTGTGGACCACACCGGCAAGTGGTCGAGGTAAACGAGTTTGACTTCTGCATGAACCCCTTCATTGTATCAAGGTGCTCTGCTCTATGAAAAGGGATGACCGGAATAAACCCGGTATTTTTGTTTTTGTGGGGTTTTGTTGTTGCTGTTGTTGTTGTTTGGCTTCTGTAGTTCTACTTCTGGCGACTGTTCTTGTTAGCTGAAATATGTCAACCCAGGTCATGGTTTTTGTGCTTAAAAGTTAACCCTGAGAAAGGCTCGGCGCTATGCTGCGATCCTGTAGTCACTAGCTGGCTAATAAAGACTTTCTGTTGGCGTAAACCCATGTCTATGCAGTCTTCTCTGGTGGACGCCCCACAGCACCATGACTGGAATGATGGCACGGCTGATGCCCAGGCTGGCCTTGAACTCACATCTTGCCTCAGCCTCCAGCTTACACCTGGCAGTGCAGGTGTAGGCCGCCACACTTCATCACCTCAGATGGTTTGTAAAACGACGACGACGAGCCACAATTCTAGAAACAGAGTACTTTGCCAGCCCCATTTGCTGAACTGTATGAACTTCACATTTGCTAAACTTTCATCTTGTTTTAATGTACTTTCTGATGATCATTTTTAAAAGATTTTATTTTTTATGTGAGGGTTTTGCCTCCACATATATATCTGTGCCCAACATTTGTGCAGTGTCCGTGGAGGCCAAAAGCGGGTGTCAGATCCCTTAAAAATGGAGTCACGGATAATTGTGAGTTGTCATATGGGTGCTGGGCACTGAACTCCAGTCCTCAAGAAAAACAGCGCGTTTTCTTAACTGCCGATCCATCCCTCCAGCTGTCAGTCATAAAATAAAGGCTATCTAGTGTGACACCAAAACTTTCCTTGTCTGGGCTCTACTCTCTTTTTCTAGAAATTGATGTAGAAAAAAAAAATTAGAAGTGATTGATCTGGTTTGATCACTTAATGTTTCTCAGACTCCAACTGACCCTTTTCTTCGTAGCTTTGTGTAGCTGAGAGAGGAACCCACGGTCCTTGGACTGCTAGCTTCCTGCTACAATCCGCCAACGGGAGAGAGATGGTGAGAAATTAGGAAAGCTGGGAGGAGAAAGGCATCGTCTGCCTGGTTCTGATGGTGGAGGCTGCTCCATCAGCACTGGCAACGGGGGTGACCGGTGTCAGGGGTCCCGGTAGTCCAGTACCCCGTGTGCAGTTAGCGAAAGCACCTCAGCAGCTAAGCTAAAGTTCCATCATCCCAGCCTCCTGACGTCCACACACAGTTCTCTCTTCTAGCCTTCTCCTGTGTTTACAACTATTTCCCTATTTTAAATCTTAACTGGGGGCTGCGGAGATAGCTCAGCGGGTGAAAGCGTTTGCCCGGGCACCCTGACGACCTAAGTCGGATCGTTCCTGGAACTCATGCCTTTGTTTTTAAACAGATGCAGTGGTAGGCATCCATAATCCCAGTGCCCCTGCAGTGAGATGGGGGGCTGGGGGGGGAACCCACTTGGGCCAGCTCGGAAGTGGGCAGTGCCATAACAGAAGTGATAAGGCTCTGGCTCAGCCAGGTAGAAGGCAAAAAAACAGCTCCTCAGAGCCGCTCTCTGACCTCCACACACAGAGACGAGTGTGCATGCACACGCACACTCAGACACATGCACACTCACACACAGACATACACAGACACAATGGCAGGCACATGCCCCCCACTGAACGGTTATCTGATTCAGCTGTCTAAAGTATCCCTGTCTTTTAAAAATATATATTGTACATGTGTATTTTGCCTTCACGTATATGAGAATGTGTGTGCAGTGCCTAGGAATGCCAGAAGAGGGTGTCAGATCCCTTGGAATGGAGTTACAGTTAGAGACTCCATGTGGGTGCTGGGAACCAAACTAGGATCCTCTGCAAGAGCAAGTGTTCTTAGCCACTGGGGCATCTTGCCGGCCCTGGGCAATTTGCTTTCTTGCATCAGTTCAGACCTTGGCAAGATTATTGGTCAAGTTTCGTTTTATTGCCTCAGAACCCATAAATTAGTGAGTTTTTCCTCTTCTCTCTATGAAAACATGATTGTCGGGTTTTAACTGCTCATTATTGCAGTGCTCTCAAATTTTTAAAGATTGTACATTGCGCCAGTAAGATCTTTTTATCATCCGTAATAATATATGCACGATTGTTTGAAAATTATACATTAGTTTTGCTGCTATAATGCATCTATTAAACATTACTAATCGGGTATGTGTACTAGTCTATTAAACATTACTATTAAACATTATTAAATGTTACTAATCGGGTACTAGTCGGGTATGGAGATATAGCTCAACAGTTAAGAACACACGCTTTTCTCCCCTGCCCCTTTGGTTTTTCTTTAAAAAAAAAAAAACACATTTTTTAAAAGATTCATTTATTATGTATATAGTGTTCTGACTGCATGTACACCTGCACACCAGAAGAGGGCACCAGATCCCACTATCGATGGTTGTGAACCACTATTTGGGTGCTGGGAATTGAACTCAGGACCTCTGGGAAGAGCAGCCAGTGCTCTTAACCTCTGAGCCATCTCTTCCAGCCTGCCCGTGTGATTTTTCAAGACCGGGTTTCTCTGTGTAACAGCGCTGACTGTCCTGGAACTCGCTCTGTAGACCAGGCTGACTTCAAACTCAGAAATCTGCCTGCCTCTGCTTCCCCAGTGCTGGGAATATGGCAACCCACCACTGTCTATAACTCCAGTTCCGGGAATCTGAGGCTCTCTTCTGACCTCCTCAGGCACCAGGTTCACACGCGGTACACATACATGCATAAAGGCAAAACACGTATACATATAAGCAACCTTTTAAAAGTCTGTTACTGCCTAGGAGCTAGAGATGTGCAGCGTAGCAGCAGGACGCATGCTGTGCATGTCGGCAGCCCGGAGCAGTCCCCAGAGCGAGTACGCATACTACCGCTTAAATAGGCTGACGTTTGCTACAGCGTTACTGATGTTTTTTTTTTTAAATCACTTTAAATCTCTGAGTGTGTGTGACGTGTGTGTTTTCTGAGGCAGTGTCTCATGAAGTTTACACTGGCCTCGAGTTCTTTGTGTAGCCAAGAATGACTGAGTTCCTTACCCCTAAGTAATGGGTTTGGAGACACTGGCTATATTACCCTGGCTGTCCTTGAACTCCATATGTAATTTGTGGAGAGCCCACGCACGGCCTTTGCCTCCCAACAGATAGGATCCCAGGCATGGGCAACCTTGCACGCAATGAATGTGTGGTTCTGTTTTGGTACAGCGTATACTAGCAAAGAGTCCAGGGCCTCGGCACTCAGGGAAAATACCTGTTCACGCTGCCACCGAAGACCAGCCAGGTCCTCTCATTGAACCCAGCCAGTTCGGTCACGATGACAAGGCAGGTGACAGAGGACTTACCACCTTTGAAAAACAGCCCAAGGGAGTTCAGTGTTCACTAAACTGGTGAAGTGGAGGCCGAGAGATGTTTACAGACCTCCCTGGGGTGGCGGAGACAACACACGAGGATATTAGATTAAAAGTCAGAGTTAGAGAGATGTGGCCGGACAGCTCCCGAGCACACACGGTATCCCTCGCTGTGGCGGGTGCTCGGACAGGTGGGGTTCCCACATTCATCGGCACTGACGGCTCTTAGGGTGACAGGACTCTTCCATCGCAGCCATGGGGTTAAAGCCCTGCTGAACCAGCAGGGTGGCTCAACAGTATGTACAAGGCTTGCTGCCAAGCCGAATGACCCAGCTACACAGTGAGACCCTGTCTCAGAAACCACAAAGCGAACCCCTAGCACACCTGCTGTTTAAGTCGGAATCACCACCGGGGGACAGGGGTGTGTCCTACTCCGTGCCATGACCTGCTAGGTGGGAAAGCGCTCAGTCTTCTAAGTATTTTCTGCTTGTTTTGTGTTTGAGACAAGGTCTTATTATGTAGCCCTGGCTGTCCTAGCACTTGCTGTGTAGACCAGGCTGGGCTAGGGTTCACAGAAATAAATCCATGTGTCCTTCCTCCCCCAACCCCTGTTTGGATTAAAGGCGTGTGTCGCTGCCACCGTCTGCCTAAACTTAAATTTCACCTTTGCTTATAATTATCAATACCTGTCATAGTAACACAAGCATCTTTTAATTTTGTGCCAAGAATTTACTTTCCTCTATTATTTAGGATAAACTGTGGAAGGTGAGAAAGGAAGAGGACAATGGAAGGCTCTTTGGCTTCCTCACCTCTAACAGGGTTTTCCCACTCTCAGACACACGACTGGCTTCCCTGGTGACAGCAGAGAGACAACATTTGGGTTGAAGGGACACATCAAAGTTTGTTGCAAACGAGAACCTTCTCTTATTCCACACACGGGAACCGGCTTCTAGAGCTGGGTAGGAAAAAGCGAACAACTTTGACCTTGCTCCACCTCTGTGTGGGCCCTCAAGATGAAGGTCTAGCTCCTGATGGCCAGGCTTTTCTCCAGCTGAGAATGAAAACTCCTGACCTTTGGCAGGCCCTAGCTAGGGCGTGGGAACAGTAACATGAGGGGCTTTCTTGATAAGGTGCATATCAGCTTGGGGCAGGCTCTTCCAGGCAAGCTCAAGGATCCCATAGTTGGCAATGCCTTTGGGACGAATGGTGTGCACGTTATTCTGTTCAGGGAGGGGCACCACACCCCGGAGCTCCACAGCAATGTAGGGGGCGTGGGAGCTCCCACAGACCAGACAGTACAGCAGCCGCTCCCCAGGCACCAGCTCCACGGCCTTCAGAGTATCGCTGAAGATGACCTCTCGGGCTCGAGGCACTTGTGTCAGCAGCAGGTCCAGCAGCAGCCTCTGGATTCGGGGGGACTTAACCTGGTACAGGTCCATGAGCTGGTAAAAGTTTTCCATCCAGGCAGCCGTGTCTTCGGCATGCCGCTGCTGTAGCATCCGCAAAACATGGTAGAGTGCCACAAACGTCTCCCATGGAGGCACCTCTTCCTTTTGGGGGGAGATAGGCCTTTTCTCCAGCTTAGGCAGTTTGGGATACCTGCTTTTACCTTTAAGATCCCCAAAGTCTCTTTGAAGCATTAGTGCCAGGGTCTGCTCGTTTACTGAAGAATGAACGCTGGCCAAAAGCTCTCTCGTGGTAGGATCAAAAGACTGTGTCTCCATCTCCTCAAGAGCACTGGATAACTGCTGCAGCCGTGTGCTTCTGTATGGCTCTCCGAGAAGATGCCAGGATCTAGCCTTTGGGTCTGCAACCCTTTTGGTAGCTAACGGGGACCCTGGTACGGGGACAGCTGAAGGTTTCAGCCAGCTTTCCTTTTCCTTTCCCTTTATGGGAGGAATCACTTTCAGATGTTTGGGCCTCATGGGTTCCCTGCTAGGCTTTGGAGTCACTGCGCTCCGAGAGTCCACAATCTGCTTGTGACGGCGCACAATGGCTTCAAGGATTGCCAGGTGCAGCCACTCCAGGTCACCCGTTGAGGTGAGGTCCTTGAGAAGCCCACACAGTCTGTGGAAGTGATCTCTAGGAAGGTCTTCTCCTGCCGCCATCTGTTTCAAGACACGATGGAGCCATTCTATATCTGAGATGCCTAACTCTGAGCGCTGCACCTCTGTCAAGATCTTAGGCAGAGGCAGCAGGCCCACTGTTTTTCCCACCCGGGGAGGGTGGTGCTGAAAAAGCCACTTCTTGGCTTGTGACATTTTGCGGAGTCTGTGGACATCCAGGGCCTGTCTGACCGTCTGAGTTGTGAACGGTTTTAACGCTGCTGGCGTTTTGTACTCTGCCATCACATCCAGAATGTCCAGAGGTCCCAGCTCATCCTTCTCCAACAGTTGCCTCTCTTTATCCATCATCTTTTTCTTTAGGGATTTCTTGGATCTCTCAAATGCTCTGGCCATTTCTTCCCTGAACATTTGTTTTTCTTCTAGTAGAAATGGTCTCTTCTTTTCCACCTCCTCAAATGCTGGGCTTGGTTTCCAAGGAAGCGTTTCTCGTGATGCCAGCTTTATAATGTCCTCTTTGAGCTCAGTGACTCCTAGTCCAATGGGAGGGAATACTTTCTTTCTTTGTGGGACCTTACGTCTTTCTTTCTGTACTTTAGGCTTTTCTCTTTTTAACACCACCTTCTTCTTCCTTGCTTCTTCCACTAAGCGTCTCACTTTTTTCTTTTTTATTTCACTCACTCTTTCTATCTCTTCCTGACCCATGCTCTTTTTAGTCTCTTCCTCTTCCTTTTCCTCCTCCATTTCCTCCTCCACTTCCTCCTCCTCTTCCTCTTCCTCCTCTTCCTCTTCCTCCTCTTCCTCTTCCTCCTCTTCCTCTTCCACTTTCTCCTCTTCCTCTACTTTCTCCTCCTCTTCTTCCTCCTCTACTTTCTCCTCCTTCTCTTCCTCCTCCACTTTCTCCTCCTCCTCTTCCTCTTCCACTTTCTCTTCCTCCTCTTCTTCCTCCTCCACTTTCTCCTCCTCCTCTTCTTCCTCCTCCACTTTCTCCTCCTCCTCTTCCTCTTCCACTTCCTCCTCCTCCACTTTCTTCTCCTCTTCTTCCTCCTCCACTTTCTTCTCCTCTTCTTCCTCCTCCACTTTCTCCTTCTCCTCTTCCTCCTCATGCACCTTCTTTTCCATCTTTTTCTCTTCCTTTTCTATTTCCTCCTCTTCTTTCTTTTCCTGAACTACCTTTCTTTCCTTCTTTTTTCTCTTTTCTACCTTCTCCGTTTTCTTCTCTTCTTCCCGTTCCTCTGTCTCCTTCCTCTCCTCTTTTACCTCCTCTTTCAACTTCTTCTCCTCCTCCTCTTCCCTTTCTTCTTCAGATGAACTCTCTCTCTCGACTTCACTTATCAGGCATTCGACTACATGAGAAAAGCCCTCTTTACGTTGTACCCGTTTAAATATACGGCGAAACCTTTCCACTCCAGAAAGAGGCTCTGTCAGCCCTTCTCTCCTCTTCCACGACTTTCTATAGTCTTCGGTTTCCTCCTCTGACTCAGGGCCTTCCTCAGGGCCTTCCTCGATGTCTTCCTGATCATCTGGCAACACCACAAGCGTCCAGTCAAACTCACGTTCTTCCTTAGCAACTATTTGCTCTTGGCGTCTCAGTTCTCTCATTTCCTCGGCCACATCTCTCTCGCTCTTAGCTAGTTTCCTCTCATCCTTGATGACTTCTGGCTGTTCTTCAGAAGCATCTAGCTCCTTCATGTCAAGCCTTTCCTCCTCCATACCTAGTTCGACCTCCTTTTCAAACAGTGTCCGCTTTAACTTCGTCATCTTTCTTTCTTTCTGGGTCATTGCCTTTTCTTTGATGACCAGCTTTTGAAGCTCCTTCAAGGACCTTTTCCTCAGGGATAGCACCCTGGAAACACTTATCGCCTTCTGCAGTTTGCTTACGGCTTTGGCTAATTTCCTCTCTTCCTGGGCATGTATTCTCTCGCCTCTGACAAGCTCCAGACTCTGCCTGGCAGCGTTCTTTTCCTCCGTGGCCAACAGTCTGTCTTCGTGGGTTAGGATCTTCTCCTCCAGGGATATTCTTTTCTTCATCATGTCTAGCATGAATATTGAGAGTCTTTTCTGCTGTGAGATCTCTTCTGTCCCTCTTTTAGAGAGCTTTTCCTCCTCTTCCAGCTTCATCTTCTCCTTCACCACCTTCTCCATTTCGCCCATCAAGGCCGTCCCTTCTTCAGCAATCTCAGTCTCCTCTCTGAAAAGTTTGCTTCTCTGTATCACCGCCTGGATTTCATCGGCTAGCTTCATTTTCTCCTGGGCTAAGGTCCCTTGCTTTTCCGCCAGAAGCATCTCTTCCTGCTCCACTCCCTTCTCTACTTCAACCAGCTTCACTCTCCTGTCCATGAGGAGCCCCTTGTCCTCCTTCAGCTTCTCGAACAAGTTTTCCATTTTCTGCCTGTACTCCTCCAGTTTGCTTTTTACATTCTGTACTTGCTCTTTTTCCTGGAGAATTTTTTCTTCGCTCTTACTGAGAGCCGTCTCCCTCTCAGCCAGCCTTTCTTTTTCCAGAGAGAGGATGTGCTTTTCCGAGGCCAGAGTTTTTTCATCCTCAGAGAGTCTTTGCTTCTTTTCTTCGAGTTCCTTCATTTTCTGGGCCAGAATCTCCTTCGCCTTGGCCAGGTTCTCCTTCCTCTCTTTCAGGCTCGCCCTCCTCAGCTGCAGTTTCTTCTCTTCTTCGGGCATTCTCTCTTCCTTCTGGGCCAGGGCTTCCTCATCCTTAATCAGCAGTTTTTCCTCATGGGCCAGCATCAGCTCCTCCATGGCAAGATGCTCCTCCTGCCAGGCCAACTTCGTCTCCTTTTTAGCCAGTTTCTCCCTTCTCTGAGCCAGCCTTTCCCCTTCCTCATTCAGTTCATCTTCTTTCCAAGCTAGCTCCCTGATTTCCCACTCTATCCTCTTTGCTGCTTCTTTCGGCTGCTTTTCTTTCAGGACAAGACTCTGTTCCTTTTGGATCACGGTTTCCATTTTTGGGGCCAACATTGCTTGTACCGCAGCCATTTTCTCCCTTTTCTTTGCATTTTTTTCTTCCTCGTGAGCCAGTTTCTCTATCTCTCTGGCCAGTTTTCTTTTTTTCTGAGCCAGTTGCTCTGCTCCTTTGCTTAGAATTTCCTCTTCTCTGGCCAGGAGTTCCTGTTTCTCACCGAGGGCTACGTCCAGGTGGGCCACTTTCTCAGATGCCCAAGCCCTTTTCGCATATTCTTGGGCCAGTTTCATCTCTTCCTGGGCTAGCTTTTTCTCTTCTTGTGCAAGTTTCTCCTCTTCTTGTGCTAGCAATCTCTGCTCTTTGGCTCGTTCCCTTTCAGATCGCGCTTGTTTCCACTCAGACCTGGCCTGTCTCTGTATTTCTAGCATCTGTTTCTGCATTGCTGTGAGAGGCTCTGTCTTTTCCTTCTCTAATTCTACAGACACTGTTTCCCCCAAACCCAGTGTCTCCTCAGTTTGGACCTTCGACATGACGTCTTCCCAGATCTGTTTCCACTCGTCCCATGTCAGCTTCTTCCTGTCTTGCTCACTCTTCAGCAGCTTCTCTCCAGCCCTGAACCTCTCCCGTTCTCTGAAATACTTCCTGTCCCATGTCTTCTTCCAGTCCTCCCAAGGTACTGTCTTTTGATGTAGGACTTCTTGCCACTCATTCCAGGACGTCTTCCACTCTTCCCAAGACAGCTTTCTGTCTTCCTCCTCTGCTTTTTCTTCTGGTTCTACCCTTTCCATCACCTCCTTTTTCTTGGCTATTTTCTCTGATCTCAGAATCATAGCCAGCTCTTCTCGTAGTCTTTCTCTTTCTCCTTCTCTTTCTTCTTCTTCTCTTTCTACTTCTCTTTCTTCTCCTTTTCTTTCTTTTTTTTCTCCTTTTCTTTCTCTTTCTCCTTCCCCTTCTCTTTCTCTTTTTCTTTCTCCTTTTCGTTCTCCCCTTTTTCTTTTTCCTTCTCCTTCTTCTTCTTCTTCTTCTTCTTCTTCTTCTTCTTCTTCTTCTTCT